CATATCATCTGCAAACAGGGACAGTTTAACTTCTTCATTACCAATTTGGATGCCCTTTATTTCTTTTTCTTGCCTTATTGCTCTAGCTGGAACTTCCAGCACAGTGTTAAATAGGAATGATGATAAAGGGCATCCTTGTCTTGTTCCTGTTCTCAAGGGGAGTGTTTTCAGCCTCTCTCCGTTAAGAATGATGTTGGCCATTGGTTTTGCATAGATGCCCTTTATTATGTCAAGAAATTTCCCTTCTATACCTATTTTATTGAGAGTTTTTATCAGGAATGGGTGTTGGACTTTGTTGAATGCCTTTTCTGCGTCAATTGAGATGATCATGTGATTCTTTTCTTTCTTTTTATTTATGTGGTGAATTACATTGATTGATTTTCTAATGTTGAACCATCCTTGCATAACTGCTATGAATCCTGCTTGGTCACGGTGTATTATTTTTTTGATATGATGTTGAATTCCATTGGCTAGAATTTGTTGAGAATTTTTGCATCTATATTCATGAGAGATATTGGTCTGTAATTTTCTTTTTTTGTGGCATCTTTGCCTGGTTTTGATATCAGGGTTATGCTGGCTTCATAGAATGAGTTTGGAAGTGTCGCTTCCTTTTCTATGTTCTGAAATAATTTCAGTAGTACTGGTACAAGCTCTTCTCTGAATGTTTTTTAGAATTCTCCAGTGAAGCCATCTGGGCCAGGGCTTTTTTTTTTGTTGGGAGTTTTTTTTATTACCTTTTTAATCTCTTGTTACGGGTCTGTTCAGATTTTCAACATCACTGAGCAGGTTTCTTGACTGCTCTGTGTCTCAGTTTTCTCCTCTGTCAGATGAGTTCACACGTGTAAATTGTTTAGCACAAATCCTAGCATACAAAGGACTCAATACATGTTAGCTTTTGTTTTCATTATTCAACTAAAGTGGATTCCTATAATATCTGAAGTGGGGTTATTCTCCAAGTGTCCTTTGTTCATTCTCTCTTCATAGTTTATAATTTTCTTCCTTTCTTTTTTTTTTCCAACATATGTTATTTCCTGTCTCCTATTTAACCAGAGGAGAGTAGGCTCAGCTCATGATAAACAAAAAAATACCCAGTTGCTGTGGAGTCGATTCTGACTCATGGCAATCCCATCTATGTCAGAGTAGAGCTGTGCTCCATAGGGTTTTCAATGGCTGATTTTTTGGAAGTAGCTCACCAGTCCATTCTTCCCAGGTGCCTCTGGGTGGATTCAAACCACCAGTCTTTCAATTAGTAGCCTTTTGTGCCACCTAGGGACTCGCAGCTTATGATACTGAAAAAAAAAAAAAAATTTTAAAAACTAAACCCCTTGCCATAGAGTCGGTTCTAACTCATAGCGACCCTATAGGACAGAGTAGAACCGCCCCATAGGGTTTCCAAGGCTGTAATCTTTACAGAAGCAGGCTGCCACATGTTTCTTTTTCGGAGCAGCTGCTAAGTTCAAACCGCCAACCTTTGGGTTACTAGCCAAGTGCTTATCCACTGCACCACCAGGGCTCCCTACCAAAATCCATTCCTCTAAAAAAGTAAAAATAAACATCAGTTATATAATTTTCTAAGAGTCACTGGTCTTCATCAAACTTTAAACTTTTAACCAGACAGTGTTTTTTCCCTTTCACAGAGAGCGTTCTGTATACTGAAAGAGTCCCTGGAAGCCAAAGTGGAGACATTTGGTGACTTCAGTCCTGAGGTGGCTGAGACATACCGGCTCCTGGGTGGGGCAGACCTGGCACAGGGAAACCACAGCAGGGCCCATAAGAAACTGAACAAGGTAAAGCTGGATCCCACACTAACGCAAAGCAAAACTCCCTCCCTTCCAGCAAGCCACTTTCTCTCCCTCCAGCATGCTCTTTTTAAACGAAACTTTATAAGTGACTTATTTATGTACGTTGATATAACTTTTGCAGTGTGATCTAAGCTAAAACTTTTTGGGTGAAAGATATAGTAATCTTATTTGCATATATTTTTAATAAATTATTAATAATTTTTTACCACGCAAATATTTTTAATCTTTACCTTAGAACATATTTAGAAAATCTTTCTGTATTCCCAGTTTATAGAGGAATTCATCTATGTTTTCTTTTAGTACTTACCTTTTTTTTTATTAATTTGAATTTTATTTATGTGTATGGTGTGAGGTATGGCTCTAATGCTGTCTTTTTTCAAAATGGTTTCCCAGTTGTCCAGCACCATTTTATTAAAAAGCCCATCTTTTATCCAGTAATTTAAGATAATACCTTCATCATATACAAAATTTCTGTATGTACTTGAGCCTATTTCTGGATTTCAGTTCTGTACCACTAGTCTCTCTGTTTATTCATGTGCCAGTACCTTGCTGTTTTAATTATAGAGCTTTTATGGTATGATTTAATAGCTGATAGGACTAGACACCCTTCCTGGCTTTCTCTTCCACCTAGAATATCAGGTTTTCTAGATATTCTTGCAAGTTTGTTAACTTTTCCATGTGAATTTTAGTATCAACCTGTCTGGCTCCATAAAATTTTTGCCAGTATTTTTTTGGGGGTTGTGTTGTTTACAAACGAACTTCAGAAGAACTGACATCTTTTTGATTTTGAGTCATCCTAACCAAGAACAAGGAATGTCTTTCCATTTGTTCATGTCTATTTTTGTATCTTTCAGGTGTGTTTTAAAATTTTCCTCGTGTAGGTTTTGCACATTTCTTAGTAAGTTTATTTCTAAGTACTTTATCTTCTTTATCACTATTGTAAGTGCAGTTATATCTTTTAACGGGTTATTTTTGTGTACACGAAGGCCACTGATTTCTCTGTTAATTTTATGTCCTTCTCGCTTGCTTAATTCTTTGATTGCTTGAGTTAATGTGAGCACTGATTTTCCCAGGCTTCCCAGGTATACTGTTATGTCATCTGCAAATACTTATAGTTTTACTTCTTATTTTTTAATCTTTATGCTTCTAATTGATTTATCTTGCCAAATTGCATTGACTCATACTTCTAGTACAGTGATAAATAGTAGTAAAGATAATGAGCATACTTGCCTTGCTCCTGATCTTAGTGGAAATCCCTCTAGTGATTCCTTATTTAGTAAATTGCTGGCTTTAGGTCTATGGTTTATATACTTTTATCATGTTAAGGAAATGTCCATCAATTCATATTTTCATCATTTTTTTTTTTTTAATTAGAAATGAGTGTTGAATTTTATCAAAGGCTTTTCAGTTATCTGTGAAGATATTTATATGACTCTTGGTGGATCAATTAATACAGAGTATTTAATTGTAATATTGAAGCAACCTTGCATTCCTGGAATAAATCTAAGTCATGTTTTATTATTTTTTAATGTGATGTTGAATTGTTTGCTAATATTTGATTTAGAATTTTTACTCCAGTATTTGCAAGTGATTTTTGTTTAAGTATCAATGTTATATTTACTTCATAAAAATAATTTGGTAGTTCTCCTTTATTTTATGTGCATTGGAGCAATTTAAAAACACATATATAGCATTGAAGCTATCTAGTCTTTGAAATTTGTACCTCCTATGTAACCATTTAGGCATGGTGGTTTTTTGTTTCTGTTTTTGTGGGGTTTTTTGTGTGTTTTCTTTTTTTCCCTCTTTGGTGGGGAAATTGTTTGACAATTTTCTCTATTTTTCCTATAAAAAATTGGTCTGTTGAAGCTTTCCATCTGTAATTGGGTTATTGTTGGTAAACTATATCTTTCTAGGTAGTTATCCATTTCATTTACATTTTCTGATTTATATACATAGAGATTACTTATGCTTTTTAATGATTATTTCCCCCTTATAATGTCTTAGTTTTATATTTGTGTTTTCTCCCTCTTCTCTCTTTTTTTTTTGTGACTGATTTAATTGTTGCCTTGTCTGTTTTGTTAATTTTTTCAAGAATGAGGATTTTGATTCACTAGACCTGCTTTCTGCTGTCTACTTCATTAATTTCTGTTTTTGTCTTTATTATTTCTTCCTTTGTGTTTTATTTTGTTGTAGATTTTTCTCCTATCTTTTTGAGTTAGAAGTTTAATTCATTCATTTTCATGTTTCGTTTTTATTGATAGAAGCGTTAAAAGCCATGAATTTTCCTCTTACTATTGCTTTACTGTATCTTAGAAATTCTCATATGTTGGGTTTTCATTACATTAATTAGTTTTAAAATGGAAAACACCTGGGAACTTCTAAGTAACCTAACTGATCAAACCAAAAAAATTAACTTTAGTTCTGAGTGGGCCGTCCTGTAAGTCCAGTCTTTATCTCTTCTTACATCTTTTCTGATTCTGCTGCAACAAGCACCAGATTTGGTGACTTGTGTAGTGCCTATTCTATTATCAGCGGTCATCAAGTATTTATTGAGCACCTTCTGTGGGCCATTACTGTGCCCAGCAGTCGTGAGGAGAAAACAATGACCAAGACAAATCCGCTCCTTGTCTTTGAGAGCTGCCAGTCTAGCCAGGAGGACATACATTAAACAAGTCATTTCAGATAATTTAAACATTGCACATGTGCCAAAGACATCACGGTGAGAGAAGATCTGAGAAGGAAAGCTGAGGGGGCAGTTGCTCTCTTTCCCATCCTCCACTTCCATACAATAATAGCCAGTGCTTATTGAGTGATTGTTATATCCCTGGCACTCTGTTAAGTGATTTACATATATTAACTTATTTAAACCCTACAGCAACTCTAACAGTTGGGTTCCTCTACTTTCCATATTTTACAAAGAGGGAAACTGAAGCTGAGAGGGTGTCTCAGCCTTGGTTACACAGCAGGATATTGTTGGAGTGCAGACCCAGCACCAGGCACTCTGTATTCTACAGTGTACACTGTCATCTATTTCACATTGAGAGTTTCTGAATAAGATTTTTTTTCTTAAAAAAAAAAAGGTTGAAAACCAGTAGCATAGTGGGAAGAAAGCCAAGATCAGTATAGTAGGTCTCTTTGAATTGCAACTGCCAGAATACACTCAAACTAGCTCAGGCTTAAAAAGACATTTATTGTCTTATGGCGCCAGATGACTAGCAGGGCAGGGATGCAGTGGAGCCTTTGGAGAAACTGCAGCAGCCAGACACTAGAGCCACGAGGGCTCTGCCCAGGGCTCCTCCCTACTTCTCAATGCACCTCATCTTCCTCTCTCACAGCACTGTCTTCCCTCAAGATGGAGTGCATGGCTGCCAGCATTCCTGAGTTTTACGTCCTACCGCCTGTGCCTTTGAAGAGAGGTAGCTGTTAGTCACAGCTTAAAAAAATGTCAGGGAAAAACTGACTGGCCTGGCTTGAATCAGATGCCCACCGCTGGAGCAGTCAGCTGAGGCCGGGGGTGGTAGCTTGTAAAACTACGGTGCTTCCAAGGTAGCCAGGGGACCCTGGGTGGGGGTGACACTGGAAACACAGTCCCATAGCCAGAAGACCTGGGACTGGGTTCACTGGCACCCCACACTCTCATTTTTCAAGCATGTGCAATGAATACAAATAGGAATGAAGCAGTTCCTTCCCCTAAGAGGGTTCCAGGCCAGTGAGGGAGTTACAGTTTGCAAACCCTGAAGTATATTATGTAAAAGTTCTATGCTGTAGGTCCCTATCAGGACCTATAGGAGGGGGTTTAGGGAAGGTGCCCAGATAAGCAGTCCTGGAAAAGAGTATAGACTAGAAGAGGCAGGAATTTTCCAGGTAGGAACATGGGGTAGGAGAAGGAGCAGCACTTGGAAAGGCTCAGGGTAAGAGAACAAAGTAGGTTTAAGAACAGAGCTCGTTGGGCTAGCTGCAGTGGGGAGTGTGGCTGGGAAAGGTGCAGGGCCAAGTCTCTGAGGCTGGGTTTACCAGGTTAAGGGGCTGAGGCCAGGGATCCCACATGATGGCTGCAGGCCCAGCCCAGCCCACTGCCATCCGTTTCTCTATGGCCTGTGAGCTATACATGGTTTTTACAGATGATCATTTTTAATCGAGCTGATGATAGGGAACACGAACTTTGAACCCTAATTGAATGAAAGTTTTACCCCCTAAAAAGAAATCCATTCTTTTCATAGACCTATCTAACAAGAAAATAATTTGCTTTCTCGCGTTATATAGAAGGAGCCCTGCTGGCTCAACACTTAAGCGCTTAACTGAAAACCAAAAGGTTGGCAGTTCTAACCCACCCAGTGGCTCCACGGGAGAAAGACCTGTAGACCTACTCCTGTAAAGATTGTTGTTGTTAGGTGCCGTCGAGTTGGTTCCAACTCATAGTGACCCTATGTACAACAGAACGAAACACTGCCTGGTGCTGCACCATCCTCACAATTGTTGCCATGCATGAGCCCATTGTTGCAGCCGCTGTGTCAATCCATCTCTTTGAGGGTCTTCCTCTTTTTCACTGACCCTCTATTTTACCAAGCATGATATCCTTCTCCTGGGACTGGTCCCTCCTGATAACACGTCCAAAGTATGTGAGACGTAGTCTCGCCATCCTTTGCATTCTGGCCGTACTTCTTCCAAGACAGATTTGTTCGTTCTTTTGGCAGTCCATGGCGTATTCAATATTCTTTGCCAGCATCACAATTCAAAGGCATCAATTCTTCTTCGGTCTTCTTTATTCATTGTCCAGCTTTTGCATGCATATGAGGCGACTGAAAACACCATGGCTTGGATCAAGTGCACCTTAGTCTTCAAGGTGACATCTTTGCTTTTTAACACTTTGAAGAGATTTTTTGCAGCAGATTTGCGCAATGCAATGTGTTGTTTGATTTCTTGAATGCTGCTTCCATGGGTGTTGATTGTGGATCCAAGTAAAATGAAATCCTTGACAACTTCAA